AGGCATGCATGGTTACTTGTATCACTTGAATTATGATAAATTGTAAAAAGTTGTTAAAATGTACAAAGAAAGTTTTTTTTCAATTTTGCAGAGATTGCAGCCTTAAATAAAAGATAGTTCTGGGGTTTTACCTCTTTTAATGGTTTATACTTACAATCACAAGTGCATCAGACCTATGTATGGCAGTTAAAGTTCACAATACACAACAATATTGCAGTCGAATGACTTACGATAATCCTTGAACTTATAATAGTGGCAAACAAAATTAAAAGTTAGAACAACATACTAAATAAATAGTACCATGTGAAAGTACTGCTTAAGAGGTTTCATGTGAATGGTAGCACCACGACAGGATTTCATCCACAGACTCAAAAGTTAGAACTACATGCTAAATAAATAGCACTATGAAAAAGTACTGCTGAAGAGGTTTCATTTGAACGGTAACACCACAGGATTTCATCCACAGACTCAAAAGTTAGAGCTACATACTAAATATAATAGCACCATGTGAAAGTACGGCTGAAGAGGGTTCATTTGAATGGTAACACAGTAGCATTTCATCCACAGACTTAAAAGTTGAAACTACATACTAAATAAATAGTACCATATGAAAGTACTGCTGAAGAGGTTTCATTTGAATGGTAACACCATAGGATTTCATCCACAGGCTTAAAAGTTAAAACTACGTACTAAATAAATAGCACTATGAAAAAGTTCTGCCAAAGAGATTTCATTTGAATGGTAACACCACAGGATTTGGTCCACAGATCTGACGAATGATGTTGCTAAAACGAAGTATAGTCGTGAAAGGGTTAAGTTGTCTTAAAAAATTTCAATTGTGTATCAGCGGGCCAGTTTGAGCCACAAAAAGTTCCAAGTGAAACGTCTACAAACAAATTTTAATGATCGTTCCATGAGAAAAATGTTTCAGAATTGAACACCATCGAGACTTTTTTAAAATGTTGTTATTCTAATGAGAGCCAACACTATCGCTCCAATAAGCCCCTCCGTCCTCCCAAACTCGTTCTTAGAATTCTCTCCAGCAGGAAAAGGAGAGAGGCCCTGGGAAGGAGGTCGCGCTTCTCTCCCCTTGCTTTCTTAAACACTATATTTGTATCAAAATGAAAAGTGTCTTTTTCGTCTCATTAATTACAAACATTTTTAAACCCCTATACGGTATCAACGTAAAGAACTTTCAGTTATCTCGATCTCAGGTACTTGCAGAGTTATTTGAGAGCATTATTTAGCCAAGATAATTTTCTATTTTAATGAAGAATGGAAGTGACAAGCTCACAATCGCATGCCACTACCTCTCAAAAGCGACCAGCGATCTAAAATGCCAAAATCAGTTGCTCAGTTAAGACGCCACAGGCGCGGGAACCTGGCTTTAAAAGCGACCATTTTCCATAGGCGAACCATTAGAGGCCCACTCAGACAGTACTGTTCTATTGAAGACCGGTGTCTCTACTTACGACTACCCCTTGCAAGCATTAATCGCGTGCGACCCAGAATCCCAAAATCATTTTCCCCAGTTAAGGCGCTATAGTTGGAGCCGATCTAAAGCGACCAATTCCCTGAGGCGACCACCAATCAGAGGCCCATCCAGGAATCATTGTTCTATTGAGGATCAGTGTCTCTATTTGCGACCACCCCTCGTATGCGACCATCCCTCGTGTGCACTGCCGAATCGGTATCTCTGGTTAAGGCGACATAGTTGGAACCTATCCCAATAACCGACCACCTAATCGAGTCCAAATCGTGGAATTCTGGGTAATCGGTTAGCTGGCTGAGGTTCGGCTTTATAATGTAAATGATACCCCACGCTTCGCCTTATTGGCACGCGTTTTTATTTTCAGAAAAAAAGCAATATTGTACTTTCTCCTATATTTGAACCAGCCTCACTGCTGCGGCAAGGAAAACAATCACTATAAATTCTTTTAAATCTGGTGTACATATATAGGCATCTGTCCTTCCTCTAACATTCGTTACTTAACACGTGTCACCGACTGTGTTCTTGACCTTTGAACATGAAAAACAGTTACCTAGAACGTATTCGTCGTAAACAACTTTTTCCCTTTGTATCTTACCGAAGATATATTTATCGCTTATCTTTTTACTTAAGTAGGCGGATTGATTGCTCAAAGAGGGGTTATATTAGTTGTTGACTCAGGCCACCCCCCGTGGAGAGTACAAAGTTTACCGAATTGAAGTGGGACGAAATGAGAGGTAGACCGTTAAGTAAACACTGGGTTGATTGATTGATTATTCTTAATAAAAATGATGTATAACTACACTCAGATTTTCAGTTAAATGAAAAGAAGTTAGACGTCAAATGCTTCATTTAATTGTAGGTCTTGATTGAAATATGGTTTTAGGTGATTGATTCAAGAGGCTTTTTATCAGTTGATGGATAACTGTAGACGGCACCCCGCTGGTTCAGCCCTCGACCAACATCAAAGAACAAGTTTTTCAAAGTAAAATACCTCAACTTCAAAAATTGATCCGGATAAGTGGAGTAAATACTTCAGTTTCGTGGGAACTAGATAGTTTCTTTAAAGCTCAAACTGGATGTAGAATTCAAAGTTTAAAAGCGCGTTCCAGAAAATCACATTCCATGAGATATTTTGGCAGGCCCCAGAATGTTTTGAATTTTAAGTTTATCAATGTATATGCTAGATGACACTGATAAGTAAATTCACCCGAGGCGACTCATTATACCATCTTTACTACAAAACACATCTCTTTTGTAACTTGTTGTTCTGTTAATCAGAACCGGAAATTCATAATTGCAAAGTAAAGAGTAACTGTTTAGACCATGGCACTTGTTTCATGCCCTTCTGATGATCACGAACTAAGTTAAGTCGAAAACGGCGTTTTTCTCACCTTTAACAAAACAGCTGTGATTTCTTGCTCCAATGCGCAACCAGCCTACTTAAAATGACCTAAAAAAATAACACGCTTCGATTAGCATTTCTTTGCCTCATTCAGCATGGCTCATTTAAAGTTCACACAAGATCAGTGAAATATTTTACGGAATGAATTTTTTGGAAACATACGCGCGCGAGGGAAAAGTTTCGTAAGCAATGTTGCGGTCTTATGGCGTCTAACGGTTCATGAATCAGTAACAAAAGAGTTAGACGATGTAAAACCACAAGACTAAAATGATTGAAATCTGAACACGCAAACACTAATTTTTTTTTTTTTTTTTTGAAATAAAATGTGGCACACCAATATGTTTCAAAATTCTTTAAGGAACTCTTATTATAAATCATTATGTCTTAATAATTAAAAACATGACCATACTCCAGATTTCACAGCAATAATTTGGAAGAAAAATTCAAATAGTTGCTTTTTTTATCGCAGCGGACCCCGCCTTTCAAGACTTTTGACTGACTAGGCATTTGGTTGGTAAATAGTTTGAGGCAACAGTTTAGGTTTCGCTAGAGAAAATGTTAAGAGAAGTTTTGTATTGTAAGTTTTGCGCTTTGAGTTGAAATGTATTCAGTCCTGCACAATCTCTATAATTAATTCAGGAACGAGTCGGTCTATTCCTCATGGTCTCCTAAACTTCACCCATGTATTAATTGTCTGGCTCTTCAGTCCTCATTTTTCTCAATGCTACTAGTGATTTAACTTAAATTAATGGATTATTACTTTAAACGATCATCTTTGGAAGCCTACCACGTCATTTTTTGCTTCACTTTGATCAAGCAGTCGTGCATGACGTCGGAGGTCTAGGACAAAGACTCACTGCTGCTCATGTCCACGAAACCGTTTTATTCTTTGATTTACGATTTGTACACATACTTCATTGTTAAATACAACATAAAGCTATTTTACATGCAAGATATCGCAGCATTTAATTACCTTATTTTCCACAGGCAAAGATATGAACAGAATTTTAAGAAATTTAAACATTTTCCCCTCAAGTTTCTGTTATACAGTTTGAGATTTTTTAGTCTGAGGAATAAAATAATTCACCGTTGCTACCAAATGAAGGCTGCTGAAATCTGATGAATTTTAGATGTTTCAGTTCTTTTTTAATATATCTATATATACACACATTTTTTAATGAGGCTTGTTTTGACCTAAATGAAGTTGTTAGCAGCAGCGCTGCACGTTTAGGGAGCAGCATGCTGGCTGACAAGACAAGAGAGTGTTGTAAAACGACGTTCTCAAAAAGAGTTTTCGTTCTGGTGGTAACATTTCATACTTTTTGTACGTTCAGGACACCTGCATGGCTGCCAATTCCGCATAGCCTATCGATCTTGGATAAATGAAACGCGTTTGGAGCTGTATACGGGGTGCCACGCCATTGTTCCTTCAAAGGTACCGAGCGACAATGACTAATCATCGTACTGACTTCGTTTCAAAGACTGCTCGGTGAAGCAACCAGATTAACTACTCCAGCGACAAGCTGACAGTTTAAATAAAAGGAAATGATGGAGGATTTAATAAAACATACCCCCGGTCACACTGCCCAACTTTTTTTTTTAATAAAATGCGCCGAAAGTTCACAATGCACATAATTTGGTTCAGTGACCTTTGCGTTAAGTGCGCGTCCTTGCTTTTAGTCGCCGAGGTTGCTCTTGTAACACGACTGTGTCGACGATATCTCAGCCAGAGACCTCGACAAAAGGTATCAGTCTTTTTTAAAACCTTTAATATAGCGTACATAACGTGCCATTTCCTTTCTGGCCCCGTTCGCGTTTTTGTTCTTTTGTACGCGTTTTGTTTTGTTGAGATTTTTATCAGATAGTCATTTCATCTTGAAATGAAATCAAAATAACCAGAGGCAGTGTTTTTTTAGTGCTGTAACTATGTAAGCACAAGACTGCCAACTCCTCTTCCCAGTCGCAGCCTTTTATAAGACGGATTATTGAGGCAGTGTAAAAGTTTGTGAAAGATAACATATCTCGATAGCATGTATACCATATCGATACAATGTATTGACCATAAATTCCTCTTAAATACATCTCCTTTTTATCAGCTGTAAGGAATTAAAGCGATAAAAAGTTCGTAAAATATTGAGGTGCAGGTCTTTGGACAAAAATGTCAGGATTTTGCGGGTATGCTGGAGCACTTTCGTGATGAAAAGAAGGCTGATAGCTTTGGTGGAAGCTCGGATTGAAATGGCCGCCTGCGGTCTCCTTCCCTACTTGCTTTCGAATAGTTTCTTTTAGTTCTCGCTTCCACTTCATCCGTCGATTTTGAAACCATATTTTAATCTGCGTTTCAGTTAGTTCCAAGTTTGATGCTATTTCAATTCGTCGAGTTCTTGTTAAGTACTTGCTAAAGTGAAACTCCTTCTCGAGCTCCACAAGTTGTCGTTGTGTGAAAGTGAACCTCTTCTTGTTGATGGGCATGGCTTGGCCTTTTTTCTCTAGGCTTACTTCTTCTTTCTCTGATTGCGCAGATACTGTTGATGTAAAAAGGCATTAAAATTAAGAATAACGAAATGAAGAGACATTAAGTCGAAAACCGCAAAGATTTGAATCTAGCAATCAATGTTACAATTCACCCAAAGACGATTCGGCTTATAAGAAATCAGTGAGGCATCAATTGACCAAACCACAAATCTAAAATTGTGATTTGAAGCATATTTTCTCGGTTGTAATGTGCTTGAAGCTTTATTAGCTAAGCAAAAAAGATTACGTTCCCTAAATGCAGCACTAGAATCAGATTTTAAAGATATTTTACAGTATGTGTTTGCTCTTAATTACGGTGCAAGAAAGACCAAGAAAATATGGCCACGCCAGGAGATAAGTTTGGATGTTTAAAGATGAATGTAAACTGTTTCGGATGTGGCCGATGATAAGCAAGATAACCCTTTCTTCAGTCGATCGTTAAAAACGATAAAGTTGTTCTTTTCAAGACAAAGTGTCTTTGATAGTTAACTCCCACTTAATATATATAATTCTTGCAAGATGAGAATTCATTTAGTCCAAATAGATTTTATTCTATTTTGAAGCAAGTGTATAATTCTTATATCTTAGTTGTAGCCTTGGAAGTGCTCTCAGTAATAGTTTTTATCTCAGTTATGTTTACTTTGAAAATGACATAGTTAAACTGGTTTCTAGATGGATTTTTGTGGCTTATTTTAATGAAGAACTGTAAACTAAATGCTTGAAAGATTTTATACATGTTGTAGTTAGGTGGTGGGCTAACCTAGGAACGTGAAACGGCGGGCAAAACTTTGAAGCAATTTTGCTGTAGATACAAATTATGACTCTTAGTTATTTCTTAGCAAATTTTTCCAGCTTAGAGACCTCATATATTTTAATTCTGCTGATTTTATACCCTTAAGGTTCGACGACATTATTGCCTCCCAAATTCTGTAGGCATGATTTATGACTCTTGTTGCTCGTGTTCGAACAGCAGTCTTAAAATAGTCTTTCTTAAATTTATTTCGATTTTTTTTCATATTGAACTACATTTGACTTACTTTTGGTAAAAGCTTAGAAATACTACGGCTTTGGTTGTGCGCTTTGTACTTTGCAAGACATTCCCACAACACATGGGAGCAACATTTGTAGGTTACAAAGGTCGCACGACTATTTTTGTGGTTTTTATTAGAAACATGATGGATTTTGCCTATATTTTGTAAAGATCATGAGCGTTTTGTTCCCCTCTGGTCAACCGAGGGAAACGAATTCCATCTACTTTTGAAAGCAAGAGAACTAAGAAAGAACAGACAGTTTTGATGTCAGTACTACGTGATATTCCAGAACAAAGACGGTCTAGAAAACTCCAAATTTTCTCTCTTCAATTGCGCTGGAGGGCGTTCAGATGGCGATCAGAAACAACTAGATGGTAAGAACTAGTGAATCAATAAGTTTAAATGCCAGGTCGGCTCTCAAACATCGATGATTTAATCTCAACAGTTTAATTAGCACACTGCATTGAAATCAATCAGCGAGAATTGCTCAAGTGTCAACGAAGTGTCAGCAGTGCACACAAAAATCAATTACCAATTTACAGGTTTTAATCGAAAAATTCGGCAAAGAAGTTCCTGTTTTGTTGCAAATGTGTAAATAAACAAGCTCTCGAGCAGGTGTAATGGAGTAACTAAGCCGAAATGGATCGCTTTAATATTGCACATACTTTGGGTGTTTATTTTATTTATTCGCACACTAGAAAAATGTGAGCGATGTTAAGTTTTTTGATTTTGGTCATTGATTAACGAAAACCGCCGTTGAATTTGATTAACTTAACGTTTTGTGGAATAAAGTTTATTGCTTATTTTGATTTATATTAAATTTCAGCTTTCGAAAGAAGACTTTGAGACACCACTTTCTGTGATGACCCTTGAGAAATTTATCATTTAGCGAGCGATCAAAGATTCTTAGTCATTTGCTGCTCCACGATGTCAAAAAACACAAGCTCCTTATAAAGAAATCATGGTGTTATAAGTGATTTGCTTGTCTGAGATTACACCTATGTTGTATTATCAGAATGTGGTTCTTCTTAATGCTTTTTATAGGCATCAGATCGTTTTATTTTTCAAAGGAAGCGCAATCTGTTTCTTTACATCGTATTTGATGTTCAACAGGGCGTGCAGTGAGCCGGTCGGGAGCACTTTTCGGCATCGTGCTCTGTCAAGATAGGTTTTAAAAACAAGACAGGGAAAAAGGAATTGCCTGAAGCTGAGAGAAAAAAAAAATATTGTTGTGTTGCTAAAACTAGGCCGATATGGCTACAGAAACTATTCCGTATTGGCGAGGGTCCTTCAGATTTTATGCCCATTTATCCACGAAGCGAATAATAACACAAAACACACAAACTAGTATATTACAATACAAAAGATTATGATTGCAAACTAGATTGGTGCCATTTGTAACGGGATTTCACTGACAGTACAACAATTTTTATGTCTTTTTATCTTAATAAAGCCTTTAATCTACTTTTTACCTTTTCTCTTAGTAAACATCCACCGATAGTTAGCTGTTTGCCATCGTTTTTTCTCTGCGCTCTGAGCCCTTACACCTTCGTTGGCAGACGGCTGTAGCTGTGGAGACGAAAACGAGGTGGAAGATGGCGAAATTGAGAGCTCATGGCTGGTCACTGTTCTCGGCGCAGGTCCTACTGGAGGTGAGAAAGAAAGGAAACTTTGAGGCGCCGTGCCTAGGGTGATTCTCGGATGTGCGCCGTTGGGAGGATGCCGGAGAGGCATCGTTCTTCCAAAATCAAGTCCATGGAAATGCGGGATCGCCGATGTCAAGTGAGGAGCAGCAGGAAACCTGCATCGCCAATCGTCCATGTTTCTCGTGGATTATACTACGGGCACCTTTAAACTTGGGCTGCTATCTGGGGGGCGAAATTGATGGCTGTGGAGACGAACTGCGACGAGGACCGTCTTATATACCGGGGCGGGCTCAACACACTTATGGTCAATTTATCGATTAATGGGATCAGGAGTACTGAAGATTTCACCGCCGCGCGTTAAACGCCGCTCGAAAAGTGCACTTTGCTCTGTTCAGCAAACTGGAAAATCTCCCAGGTCTTCAATTAGAGTCCCAGCTTTCTACTCTGTGCTAGGAAGTGTCTGGCTGAATTTGCAAGTGTCACGCTGGGGTCGTGCTAACATACAATGCGACACACGCCTCACTAGTAATTAAAATTAAATCGTATTAAGTTAATCAGCGAACGCCGAACAATAGATCGGAGCCATCGTTCCTTTTTTTATCCGTATGCAGAAACAAAACGTTCCCACATATTTTAATAAAGACTAGCCCGGGGCAAAGTGGACTGTATTATCAATACATTATGCCTATTAAAAAGTTTACAAGTTTTGTAGCTAAGAACCACAAAGAATTCTTTTTTATCGAAATGTGATTATGTCACCTATTAATTTTGTCGACTTTGTAACCATTTTTTGTGTTGTCTTGCAAATTAAAAGAACAGTATTGATTTTCTTTCCGTTATCTAAACCGTAAACGAACGCGGAAGACCGCCCGCCCGTTCAAGGAACCTTTTTTGCCAATACACGGTTTTAATATCAGTAAATTACAAAGTCAGTTATGGCTTTGTACCATATCATGATACAGCGGGAATTCTGTTACAGTGATCAACCCACTGTTCAAAAAATTGCAAGAATTTAAAAATTATTTTCATTTGCATTATATTTTATTTTACAACAAACCTTTTTGTCTTTGTCGTTCTGAAAAATTTTCACGATATTCCTATACAACACTTAATTCAAAATATTCCGCCCGGAAGCCTGTATTTAAAAATTCTGCGTTTTTGTTATTTCATTCTGATTATTTTCTTTTAATGACTTTTTAGTTTCTAGTTGTCCCAATTTTTGCATATAAGCTCATCTGCTACAGAGGACGAAAGCGTCCTTTTTAGTATCGCTACTTGTGTCACTTTCAGTAGCCACTGTTGTTAAGATCATATCGGCAGCGTTAGAAGACAAACTTTTAGTGAACTGTAAATATAAAATTTGAATAGGTTTCACATTTGAATAAGAGGCAGATTCCCGCTGTGAGATATAATTCAGAGTCGAGTCCCATAACGGCCTTGGCAGCTTTCAATAGCCATTTTTTGAAGTGAATTTAACTCGACTGCCAATATGTCTACTCTCACTGAACTCTCTTAAGTTAATTGCAAGTCTACCTTATGTATCTTTATACCCTTGAATAAAAATCAACTCTCTTAAACTCCACCCGCCAAAGTTCTAAAAATAGGAACATTGGCTTTATATATTTAGCGTGCGTGGGCTGTTTCGCTGTGGCATCTAAAGAATCGTCACAGCTCATCCAGAGAAAAAAATATACATCCCTTCTATAGCAAAGCTACCTTAGTTCCTGACATTTTTTTGGTATTTCGCTCGGACCATTTTTAACCAAGTAAGGAGATATTTAACGCCTGTTTTTCACTGAGTGACTCGTTCATAAGAATTTAAGCAACACGAGTGAAAAAAATATATCGGATGAAAGAATATGCGGAGAGCAAAACAAAAAAAATATAATAAAATAACTTAATAAAAAAAATACTAAACTCGTAATTGCTGTCGCAAACTTAGGTCTCTTCGTACAGAGCTAATTATGTTCGGTTCACATTCACATTCAAATTGAAGACGGAGGTTAAACTTTATCCTTCTCGTGGATAAGACAAACAACAGAAATTCTCAAGCAAATGCTTGGCTCGATCAGCTTTTTACTATTCATAAGAATCTGCGCCTCTTGTGTGGTGTATTGATTACAAGACGTGCTGAAAAAGTGATCTCATATTCGTAATAGAGTTCTTCCTTGGAAATAATCTACTTTCTTTGCGAGTTACAATCAGAGGGAGTAAAAATTAATGAAGATTTAAAGGTATATTAGCGGATTATTTCAACATTTATAAGCCGAGAAACTTCGTTCACCAAAGCTAAAAAATAAATTTTCCAACAGCCTCTGCTGAAATTGCGTTAAAGTTGTTACCTAAAAAAAAGTGTTTGCGAGGTGAACAATTTCAGTGAACAGTTATGTCAGAAAAGGTTTTGTGTGGTTCAGCCGTATTGTGATAACTCATGAGGTTCTATTGTCCTGCAGATCCAAGGCAGGTGTAAATCGCTCTACAAAACCAATACACGAATGCACAACCGGCTGGTCAAAAAATTCAATAGTGTAATTTAAATTGAAATTTATCAAAACTTTTATCTTTGATGTAATATCAAAGTTGGTTTTATTTCTTCCCGAGGGTAAATACGAGAAATTAGCTCAAATATTTGTGACAATCCTCGAACAGTTTTTGTTTAATTTGTTCTTTACCCCAAAAAACAATTTACAATTTATACTTTGGGTCTATTATGACTTTCTATGAAGTAGTAAATTTTCCACTTTTTGTTTGGGAAAAAAAAATATCAAACAAAGTTTTACATAAACACAAAATAATCTACAAGAATGTAATATTTTTTCTCTAAAAACGGTGCAAAATATTCATTTTTTTTTTTCACAAAGTACTATGTACACCTCGTCATTTAATTTTCGGAGATTGAGCGATATTTCAAAGTGTTACCGCACAAGAACTTCATGCTGAGGTCGTATATGGGGTGTTTCTATGGCAGATAGTCAAATATTTCATATTCAATCTCAAACAAAGGTATCAGTGTGGTTGTATCCTTTCAAGCGAGTTTGGAGTTGGAAGTTTCCCGCTATGCCATACTATGGGGTCCAAATTAAAACACCGATATTTTAGAATAAAAACCGATTTAAAAGATAGAGCGAGAGAGCGAGAGCCTGGTCAAAAACTCAGGAAAATGCCGGTATATATTGTACTTTATTTGCGCGCTCTTTAGATTTTTAAATCTACCAAACTGCTTTGACCAATATCTTTCACAAGAAGACTTTCGGGACATTTTAATACACGCCTACCGCTTCCTACAGCTTTTGTTTTCCGCGTGATTAGGAAGCAGAAAACTATAGAAAACATTTAATAGTGTGATTAAAGTCAGTTACCGCATCTTAGCTTCATTACCCGGTTCAGGCGTAGCTTAGAAAAACAATTTTATACTTTTTACCTGTAAGCCCCCACAGTCCCTCACAATATTTGAAAAACATAATCAAAGAGAAAAAAAATTCATGGCTAACAGACAAAGTTCTTATTTTTTCTGGGTATTCCGTTTTTCCCCCTTCAAAAACAAACACTTCCAATTCCAGTTCTATCTGGAGCGCACGACCACTTTCAAACGAGTTCTAAAGCAATCCTTGGTGAAAAAATAACATTTACATTTTGTTCAAGGCTATAGACCAAGATATGGCGAGATAATTTGTCCCTCTAACTTTTACAACTGGTGTTACCCTTCAAATGAAGCCACTTTGGCACAACTTTTTGCATAGTGCTATTTATTTCGCAGGATTTTGGAAAAAAAAAGAATTTTCTAGTGATTCTTTCCTTAGCCAAAAGGTTTAGTAAGTTTGTAATGGCTACGTCTTCCTGCTGTGTCAAACCCATGAAAGTCACTCGATTTTGCTCCGTCACTAATAAGAGAGAGAGAGAGAATAACTTCCTCCTTTTTCGGTTCTAATGAACAAATTTACCTGCGCGTTTTTATTCAGTTAGTATACGTGATAGCGACGCCAGTCTATACGCTCTCCTCGACAACAATGCAAGTGATCAGTAATTCGGCGTGATATCCATGTCTTGCTTGCTTCGCGTGATCCGGTCATAATGAAGAATTACACCTACTACAAAAAGTTACTTATTTTAAAAAAGTCTCCTTTAAATTGTAACATTTCTACTAACTAAAAAGGAAATAATTCGTTGTTCAGGAATCGAAACTACTCTAGCTTCAATTTTGCTCCAAGTAATTCTTTAGGACTTCATCTACAATGTTCTTTATAGAAGCTTTTTTGTTCGTAATAACAGCCGGATAGGCCACTAGTACTTTTGGCGTATTTAATATTGCATTTACTTTTCGACAACAGCAAAATTGAAAGCTTATAATATGTTAATGCGGAACGAAAACTTGATGTCTTTATAGGAGAAAGAAATAAGAAACGCTTGAACTCGTTTTTTTTAGCGCGATTTACATAATTGACAGAAGTGTTGAAAAAAGAATATATTTGTTTCAAATAACAACAAGGCTGCAGTAGTGAAAGGGTTTATCCCTTCTCTGGATTGTCGGGCCAGAAAATAAAGTTTAATAGTTTCTTCAGAACAAACAACAACAACAACAACAACTTGACAGTTAACAGACTACACTGAAAAAAAAAAACGGTTTTAAAGAATAATGTCGTTCAAAAATATCCTATAAGATCTTAAACAACATAAATAACTAACGATTAAGAGGAAGCACAACCACATAGTGGTTCTTCATCTAACTTCCCTGGTCAAACTGGAATTTGTAACTGCTGGTTTTGAGGAAATGGGAAAACCGGAGTACCCGGAGCAAGGGAGAAAACTAACAACCAACTCTCTCACCCCACATATAGGGTTGATGCCGGAATTTGAACAACACTAAGGGGAATTCAGTCATAGAGGCAATAGATGGAGGCCTCTTACTGAGGGCGCTTTCCAAAGTCAGAACTGGCCGGCCGCACCTGTCATTTTGAAAATGAAATAGGCTTTTTCCATGAGTTTTTGATGAAAAACGATTTCCTTCGTGCATACTATTTGGGATTTGACTGATCTGACTGGATAGCTTTGATTAAAAGTAAAATTCTCATCACGGAAGGGAATGTCCTGGCCTTGAGTTCCGACAAATGGAAAGCGCACCAGGCAGGGTTTATTATAGAAATTGGACAATGATAGTCAAATGGGCCTCCTTATGTA